CCACTTGGGAGCAGGATACTGTATTTTCACCATCTTTTTTTTTTTTTACATTAAAAGTAAAAACTTGAAAAACTAATTGGAAATATACCATATATTCAGTTTCGGGGCCTGGGTTTTTCACTTGATATTACATCCTGAACCTTCCCTCATGTCTTCAAATATTCTCTATAGAACTGCTTTAAGTGGCTGCATAGTGTTCTGTCACTGGCTGTTCTCGAATTTACCTACCCACCCTACTATTTTTGGGCACTGAGGAATAAATGGCTTAAACATGACTCTTAGCTGCTGAGATAGAATTCCTAAGCATTCATGTGTATTAAGGGTTATTATTCTGCGGTTGAAAAGTTCTGAGCTGCAGGGGACAGGGGTTGACCAGTTGGCCGTAGGACTCCCTTCCAGCCCCGTCCAGTCTCTTTTGGCCCTGGGACAGGAGTGAGTGGGGCAGAGCAGGTGCGCCAGGTGTGCCTCCAGGGCCTGGTATCTGGCAACTAATTAGCCAGCCCCGAGTCGCTGTTATCACCCAAGAACCATATCAATTTCAAGCTTCATTGGCGTTCAGGCAGCAAAGAAAAGATGGTAATTAAACATTTATCCCAATAGAAAACATTTCGAGTTCAGCCAGAATTATTTGACATGTTTTCCAGCTATTAAGAATGGTTGATGGTCTATGTTTATTGACATGTGATAGAGAATGCAAGCAAATCTGTAAAGTAGCGAGTGTTGCGGCTGATCCACTGCACAGCTCATCTCCCTGCAGGGCTGGAGCTGGCCAGGGAGGTGGCACCATTCAAAACCCCGGGGCAGGTAGGAGGCGCCCCTTACGTAAAGTCTTCAAGTTTTTTTAAATTTTATTTTATTTATTTATTTTTATTTTTATTTTTTTAAAAATATATTTTATTGATTTTTTTACAGAGAGGAAGGGAGAGAGATAGAGAGCTAGAAACATCGATGAGAGAGAAACATCGATCAGCTGCCTCCCGCACATCTCCCACCGGGGATGTGCCTGAGACCCAGGTACATGCCCTTGACCGGAATCGAACCTGGGACCTTTCAGTCCGCAGGCCGACGCTCTATCCACTGAGCCAAACCGGTTCCGGCAAGTCTTCAAGTTATAGAACAAAAGGGAGAGGCTGAAAGGAGAGGAGACAACAGCTGGCCCCCTTCACCTCTTCCTCTAACAATGATAGAAATAGGCTTGGATAATGGTCTCAGTTAATTTCCGCCAAAAGAAATAAATTAGAGGTTGACATGTGCGGCTGATCCCACACCCCTCCCTGGGGAGGCTTGATGCTCCCCAGACGCCTTCAGGCTCCTTCGAGAAGAAAGTTATGGTCGTTTCTGGCTCAGGAACGTTGTGAGCTGCTCCCAGTTGCTTCCTGTAGGGAGGTTTGTCTCACCCTAAAACAGCCTGCGTGTCCCTGAACTCCCTGCCTGATCTTCCAGTCCCACCCAGGCCTGTGGCTTGGGTCATGTTTCGGTCACCAAGTGGTGCTTTCAAAGACCAGAACCTTCTCCAGGACTGGAACTGTGATCTGTTTTGCTTCGTGCCCGTAATGGGAGCAACACACCACCAGGCCCCGCACACGTGTACTGAGTGCATGACTGCAGGCTGCTCTTCATTAAATCGTGGGCCATGGCAGCGGCTTATGTTTCAGTGGTTCCCAACCTTCCTAATGCCACGACCCTTTAACACAGTTCCTCATGTTGTGGTGACCTCCGATTTCATTGTTACAAATTGAACATAATTAAAGCATAGTGATTAATCACAAAAACAGTATGTAATTATATATGTGTTTTCCGATGGTCTTTGGCGACCCCTGTGCAAGGGTCGTTCAACCCCCAAAAGGGGTGGCAACCCACAGGTTGAGAACCGCTGGTTTAGATCATTGTCTGGGCAGCGCACAATGGAGACTGTTCCCCAGAGCTGGACAGCCCTACACGGTGTAGGAAGTTAGCATTCGTGTATAAGCCACATAGGTAGCTTCTGGCAGGCAGGGCCTCTCTGTAAATATCTTAGAGCATCTTGTACACTGTTGGGCATCTAGTAGTTGCTCAAGAAATGAGAAGTGGTTGAAATGGTCACGAATGAAAGAAACAATGAATGAATGAGCTACCTCCTTAGTTCTCCCTGGGATTCCCAAGTGCTAGCTCTTGCGTGGCGTGACGTGGGCCCCAGGAACTGTATCAGATAAATGACTGGTAGATGGACAGACACAAGGGAGGGTTGTTTCATTCCGTCTCGGCCTGCAGAGGGCGGCGGGAGCGTGGGTTTGGGGGTGACTCTAGTGGTTGCCCTATTGGACAACACTACCCAACCCTGCAGTCCCCAGCCCCCTGTCACTCTGTTTCTGAAAGCTTTCTTTAAATTTTTTTTTAAAATTATTGATTTCAGAGCAGAAGGGAAAGGAAGAGAGAGAGAGAAATAGAAACATCAATGATGAGAGAGAATCATTGATTGTCTGCCTCCTGCATGCCCCACACTGGGGATCGAGCCTGCAACCCGGGCATGTGCCCTGGCCAGGAATTGAACTGTGACCTCCTCATTCACAGGTCGATGCTCAAACACTGAGCAATGCAGTCTGGGCTGTCTTGTTTTTATTTTTTTAATTTATGAGTATTTTCAGTGATATTAGTTTTTGCAGTTGTAAGTCTATATTGTGCAAAGAACTTTATAAAGTTTACTACAATAAAC